CCACCCCCCCTCCCCACCTCCCATTGTCTTTCCCCTACCCCTCCAACTGTCCCCTGTGTGTGATGCTCCTGTCCCTGAGTCCACGTGTTCTAATTGTTCAACACCCGCCTGTGAGTGAGAACATGAGGTGCTTGGCTTTCTGTTCTTGGGTCAGTTTGCTGAGAATGATGGTTTCCAGATTCATCAAAGTCCCTACAAAGGACACGAACTCATTGTTTTTTATGGCTTCGTAGTATTCCATGGTGTATATGTGCCACATTTTCTTTGTCCAGTCTATCATTGATGGGCATTTGGGTTGGTTCCAGGTCTTTGCCGTTTGTTCTTTATAACACTCCCAGTGAGCTTTATTATTCCTGAGGCTAGCTGGGTGTGGTGGCTTACACCTGTAATCCCAGCACTTTGGGCCGAGGTGGGCGGATAGCTTGAGCTCCGAAGCTTGAGACCAGCCTGGGCAACATGGCGAAACCCCATCTCTACAAAAAATACAAAAAATTAGCCATCTGTGGTGGTGCGCACCTGTGGTCCCAGTTACCCTGGAATCAGCTACTCTGAGGATCGCTTGAGCTGGGGAGGTCTAGGCTGCAGTAAGCTGTGATTGTGGTACTATGCTCCAGCCTAGACAACAAAGCAAGACCCTGACTGAAAAAAAAGAAAAGGGAAAGAAACTGAGGCTTAGAGAGGTTTAGCAGCTTCTGCATGATAGATCTAGAATTAAGAGCTAGTCCACAGCCAGATGTGGTAGCATGTGCCTGTAATCCTAGCTACTCAGCAGGCTGAAAGCAGGATGATCACTTGAGCCCAGAAGTTTGAGGCCACCAGGGGAACATAGTGAGACCTCATCTCAAAAAAACAAAAGAGCTAGTCTGCTGTCTCCTTAAGTTTCTTTCTGCTGCCTCTTTCTTATATTTTTCTAAATTAAATTGCGTGAAGAGTCCTGGATTTGCATCCTGGCTTTACCAATTACTATCCATTGTGATCTTGGGTGAGTTACAAGTTATTTACCCTTTTCCTCATGTACAAATTGGAAATAAGAATACCCAAGTGCTCAAATATTTTGCAAATGTAAAGCATTTACTGCTGTATCTGGCAGAGTTAAATGTTGAATATATGTGAGTAATGATGTTGCTGCTTGGGTTTCAGTGTTAACTGACCCAACACTTATTTTTGTATTGTTTTCCAATGTGAACATTTTACTGTACAACTCCCGAGTATTTTCCCTGGTTTTCACACATCATATAAATTCTTGCTTCTCCCCCTCTTTTTTTTTTTTAAAGACGGAGTTTCACCATGTTGGTCAGGCTGGTCTTGAACTCCCGACCTCAGGTGATCCACCCGCCTTGGCCTCCAAAGTGCTTGGATTACAGGTGTGAGCCACCACGCCTGGCCACTTCTCCCCTTTTTATGCTGTTTTTCTAACCATAAATATTTTCAGCTTATAGATGTTTTCTGTGTATATCCTTCCTTCTGGAGTCCCTCATTCTTACTGATACCTATCCTTCCTATTTGTCCACACATACCCTTTGTTCTAAAATGTGCTTTGGTGTTTTTGCTCCATGTGATTCTGATTTTCATGCTTAGAATGTCTTTCTCCTCCTAGCCTCAAGTTAAAACCTTAGACTGAATTCAAATGCTCTTTCCTTAGTAAAACTCACTTCAGCTGTCCTTCGGAAACAGAAACTTCCTAATATTTTCTATACCCCAGGACCTATCATAGAACCTGTAGTATAAATACCACAAAAGAATGATTTGTTGAATTAATTACTTTTGCCTTCATTTATCTCATGTGTCTTTTTTTTTTTTTTTTTTTTTTTTTT